TGGTCAACGGTAATTTAGATTGTCTGTTAGCGTATCTTTTCAATTCTACCAATGATGATGATGATGTGAATGTGGATGTTCGTATGGCAATCACGTTTCAAAACACAACGACATACTCTCTCGACATACATGATGAACATGGTTTGTTTTTTTGGTTATTATTCGACATGATCAAGACATTATCATCATCATTGATAATAATGATGATGGACCAATCTCAGATGGCTTTTATTGCCGTTGTTGTTGTTGTTGTTGTTGTAATCGATGATAACAACAACAATAAAAATAAGCAGATGCTTCATCGAAAAAAAAGGGATCAAGTACTTTAAAAGAAAAAAAAATATTCCATAAATTCGGAAACAATAATAAAAAAAAATTTTCTAAAAATTGAATCATCCATCATCAGTGATGAAAATCAATGGAGAAAAGAAAGTTTTCCAGGGAAAAAATTCCCAAACAACTTTCTCATTCATCAATAAATTAGTGATGAAAAAAAATTTTCTTCATCAAATCAAACAAAAAAAAATCCAAAGTAGTTGCAAGTTGTCAAATGATAAATAATTGATTGTCATCACCGAAAAACCAATCGAATGATGATGATGATGATGAGAATCGTTATGGGAAATGAATTCCACCATACACCACACTAGTTCTGTCATCATTGTCATCAAGAGTGAATTTAGTAAAAACTAGTAAAACTATAATAATATAATATAAATGAATGAATCACTTAAACATAACATTGAAGTGGGCGTATATTATCATCATCTTCATTCAATAATGATGAACAAATAATGAATTAGCCAATGATGATGATGATCATGATGATGATGATTATGATGTTGTTGCTTCAAGTCTCATGGGTAGCACTACACACACACACACACAAGAAATGATTCATCGTTTATCATTTGAAAATCAATGTAAATTATTTTTCATATATGAAATGAACATCAGAAAAACATTGAAGCATGCGTACAATCATTCAATCAAATAATAATCAATTAGAATAATAAACGTAGATCTATCTATTTTTTTTATTGTATTTTGTCATTTATCTATGATATGATGAACATCGAGAGGAAAATAAAATATTCAAGCCATTAAATCATGACCTGACTTGAAAATTGTAGCGAAAACCAGCCATTCTATCTATTCCATCATGAACAAATGATTATTCGAGTTGACCATCGATTCAAGTGAAGTTTAAAATTGCATTTTCAATCATCAAATATGATATAAACATAGGAAATCCCATGACATCCATATCTCTCAATTATCCAATAAATTGTATGACGAGAGAAAAACTTTGTAATCAAAATCAAAATTTTAATGGACAAGAGAGAGAGAGAGAGAACAAAAAATTCAAAACACACCCATACATACATAGAGAATTGCACAAAATAAAAACTTTGAAATATCATTTTGATTACCTGCATAATTCATCATCATCATCATCATCATTGAAAATTCAAACTCAAACATTAATTAATTGTGTGAGTGTGTGTGTCATCAATATAAATTTTAAAAAAAACTTTAAAACAAACATATACTGATATGTAATGTGAATTAATTTCTCGATAACAGAACCATCAGAAAAATAAAAGTATTGAATGTGAAAAAACAAAACAAAACAAAACAAAAAAAATTGTCAACAACGAATGTGAATATTTCATCATCATCATCAGAAAAGATAAATATACTGATAATGATACTGAACCAATGTAAAGAGAGAATACAAAAATGTCATAATGACATAGTGTGCCAGTGTGTATGAGTGGGTGATATATTCAATGTTCATTCATTTAAATTTTCTCTACTACTGTTCACTGGAAGTGTAGGAAAAAAAAAAAGGCAAAAGCAGAATATTTTTTTTCCATACCAAAGACAATCAATCTATGTTTGTTGTTTGTCTATTTTTTTTTCTCTCAGTAACATTCACTATATATGTGAAATGTCAATGGTAATAATCTCGATATTTTTTTTTTTTTTTTTTTGTAGTGAGAAGCTATCTATTAGTCTGATGTTTGGTATTATATGGTTATATAATGATAATTGATGATTAAAATACACATACACACACACCCTATACTACTACCATCATCAAACAAACATTGATTGTGGAGTTCAAGAAATGTGGGTGTGTGTAATTCATTCGTCGATGATGATTATGAAATCACTTTTTATCATTTCTGAGAATTACAGTAAAAAAAAAAAAAACACTGACTGAGTGAAGGGAAAAAAAAACTTTTCAAAACAAAACAAAAAAAAAACAACACAAAAAGAAAATTCACACCAAAAGTTTCATGATTTCCAAGCTCCAAGTTCAGTAATATTATTATTATTTTCATATCTTTAAATATCAACAAAATGAAAATGAATAAACCAACAAGCTAATATATAATATACACACCAACAGTTCTTATATTCTGTTATAATAATTCAAACAATTGCCGAATCCATTCGTCTCGGGCAAACACACACACACACACAAGAAGAAAAAGGGAATATCTTTATAGATGTGTGTGTGTGTGTGTGTGTGGCTTAATGTCATTTGATTTTTTTTTTTTTGTTTTTGTAATATTTTTCCCATTGTAAAACCCATATAAAAGAAAATCTCACTTGCTTCTGTGCCTTCGATGTGTTTTGTGTCTCGTGCTGTAAAGAAAGATTCAAGATTCACATACACATACATATACGTAATAAAGACATTTGAGAGAAGAAGAAAAAAAAAGAAATTTATTATTTACTACCCCAAAGTGTGCTACCCAAAAAAAAATAGAAAACGAGAGAGTTGAAGCAAAAATGTAATAATAAATAAATGAATGAATAAATATTATAGAAACCAAAAGAGAGAAAAGTAAACTGGTTGTTTGCCAAAGAAAGAACCTAGATTAATATTAATATATTATTTTCAATACACACCAAATGTTTGTTTCCATTTCTGTATTATATATTATTTAATTTCAAATGAGACACAATCACATATAGAGAGACAAACGAATGTATTGAAAACAGAATATAATGGAAAATGAAATTTATTCATTGATAAAGATATGAATAATAACTGTGTTGATGTTGATGATGAGCATCATTATCATCATCCTCACCATCATCATCATCATCATCATCATCATCATTAGTGATAATGATCGTATGATTTTCGTTCAACATCAGTATCAGGATTTGGGCTATAGAAAAAAAAATTAAATAAAATTCTCGTGTGGTGAGATTTTTTTTTTTTTTTGGTTTTTGGTCTTGTTTTTGATGTTTGAAATTGAATTTTTTTCGCCATTTCAAATGTAATTCGAATCGAAGAAAAAGAAACGAATGTTGTTTTTTTTTTCAATCATAACATCAATAATTGATGAAGCCAATTGGAAAATCGTTTTCTGGTGGTCAATCTCTTATGACCAATTTAATAATCAATTATCATTACATCGACAAAAAAAACTAGATAAATGAATAAATAAACACAACCAGGATGGATATATCAATCAAACATATCTTTTTTTTAAATATTATCGATCGATTGACTTGTAAATAAATATCGGAATTATTATTGGCCAATGTCAACAAAATGATCATTGTGGCGATGGTAAATGGATTCCGGAATCAAATGATGATGATGTTGGGAAAAAAAGTGTTTCCATTTCCATCAACGAAACAAACAAAAACCAACAAGCGATTAAAATAAACAGGAAATTCAGAGCGTTTAATTTTTGTAACGAATTCATTTCAAGTAAATGGAAATAATAAAAAAAACCAAATAGCTCAAGGGGCTAGAATACTACTATGAAAAAAAAACACGATAACTGACCTCGGTTTCTGTGTATTCAGAGTGTGTAATAAAAAGCATTAACACAGAAACGAAAACCAACAAAAAAAAAATCAAAATTCAATAATAATGGAAAATCTGAAACCAGAAAGAAATCAACACCACCATTATATTACATTATACACATTGTGAATAAAGAAAGAATTTCAAAATAGAATTTTTCAAATGAAAATTGTGAAAAAAAAGATGATGACCATTCTGGAACATTTGGGATATTCTTCTTTCTCTCATTCTGAGTGAAGGAATTTTATTTTTTTTCTTTGAATCATACCACTACATTATTGTCTGGTTGATTGATTTTCACATTATAGAAATGTTCACTTTTAATTTAAAAAAATTGAGAATAAAAAAAAGAAGGCATTTCTTCAGCTTCAAACAACAACAACAACAACAACAACAAAAAAGAATCAAAATGTTTTTCTTTTTCGGTTGTTGTTGTGAAAAGCGTAAATTGTCACAAAAAGGCCAAATCAATTAAGAAAGTGAACACACAGACACACACACACACACATTCACTCAGTGAAAGTATGTCCATTTTTCTGTTTTTAAAACACTAAAACATACCTTCTTAATAATAATGATGATGATAATGATAATGGGACCCAAGTATGAAAGAAATTTTTTTTTTTTTTTTTAAAAAAAAATCTCATAATAATGACCATATATAAAGCTCAAAATTCTCATTTCATTCATTCCTATGTTTATTATTGGAATTTCATTTTTTTTCCATTCATTAAAACAAGAATTCATCATGACGCCATGTTTGTTTGTTTTTCGATTCAAATTCAATTCAATTTTCAATGAATACAACACACACAGAGAGAGAGAGAGAAAAAAAAATGTTTCCATTTTTCTGATTCCTCTTCACTGTTTTATATATGTTACATAATGATGATGAATGATCATCATCAGGATGGTGTGATGTTAACCCGATGGTGGCAGTACATGACACAGTGAATTCAAGAGAATAAATAAATCTGGAATATGAAAACAGTGAAAACAACAACAACAAAAAAAATGATGAATAATTTTCCTCATAATCATAACTGACAACCGAGTTCATGTGGTTATTATATCGCACACAAGCTAAAGGGTTATATGCACATGCATTATATGGATATATTTGAAAAATAAAAAAAAAAAAAAATGAAAATCAACTTACGTGGATTATGGCTGGCTGTAACCAATATATGATCATCACGAAGCCATGCAACAATACGTACATAATCGCGTACAATTGATGGTATATGACAACGCATGATGGCCATATTTTCTTTGATCACAAATTCATCATAAACTTGTAGTTTGAATGATTGATGTACCACTGTTGTTATTGTGTTGTTGATGATGACCAAAACACAATGTTTCGAATGTTCCGACCAAAAAAAAATATGCAAATGAACACCATAGGAATAGAGAAAAAAAAACGAGTGAATAATTATTAGTTGAAAAAAAAATTTTTTGGAACATTTGGAATTGCAAAAATGAAAACCGGATAACAGTTAACATTTGGAATCACGTTTTTTTCGTCTATCTCTATCTATATCTCCACAATTCAAACAATAATAATTATAACTTTTTGCAAAAAAAAACAGAAAATTCTTGTCTATTTTTAAAATTTGTTAGTTTTTTTTTCACGGATTCAGAAAATAAAGTGAATTTTATTCAATAATTTTCCAAACCCATTGCATTTCACTTCCAAAAAAAACAACATACCAAGACTAAGGGAGAAAGAGAGAAAAAAACTTTGCAAATGAAATTTAAATATTAAATTAACGCAAATTCAACAGAAAAAAAATCTCTGCCATTACTATTTACACACACAGAACACATTTGTGGATGCTTAAAAGAATCGGTTTTTCCGTTTTTGTTTTGTTTTGTTTTTTTCCGTAATTAAAATGGCTGAAAAAAATGATTGAAATTCTTGAAATATAAACACATGCACACACACCGAGTCATTCATCGTCGTCGTAGGATTTATTTTTTTTTTTTTTTTTTTTTTTGAATGCATCATTTTTGAATTGCTTTTCTGAACCCTTCGCGCCATCATTAAAATCATAACAATATTTCATAATAATCTAATGTCATTTAAGAGAGAGAGACTGTTGTTGTTGTTGTTGTTGTTGTCTCTGTAGTTTTTTCTTTATTCAATTCTTTTTTTTTTTCTCTACACAAAGCGTACACTTAGTAAATTAACAATTTTCTTTCACATTTCTTTTTCATCTTCACATCATCATCATCATCATCATCTTTAGCCCATTTACCAACCAAACAGCAGTAGTTTGATTGTCATCATCATCATCATCATTTTATGTCCTATAAGAAAGAAAGAAAAAAAAAAAAACACACACACACACAGACTATTTATAATCTAGAAACATGGTTGGTTGGCGTGTCCATACATATATATTTACTATGTGTGTGTGTGTGATGACAGTTTTTCTCAGTCAGTTTTTTTTACTATTAATTTTCTTTTTTTTGCTACTTTACTTGCTTGCTTTCGTGTTATTATCATCATCATCATCATCATTGTCTATATTACCGTAAGCTAATTTTTTGCTTCAAAAAACACACACATAAACAGGATTGTGTTGTTGGTTTTTTTTTCGGGTAAACTTAATAATAATAATAAAAATGATAATAATTTTTCATTACATATATTACACACACACACTAAAAACACACCATAAATATAGGAATTGGTTCCGGGTTTTTTTTCGCTTTCATGCAATTTCCTTGATGATTAATTTTCAAGTGTTTCAAATTCTCACATCATTTGATTGATAATAATTAATCAAATCTCTTCATCAATGATGATCAGTCCTCAAAACTTCAAATTATTATTTTTCTTTGATAAACGTGATTCATATCTAACAAAATGATTTTTTTCGCTTCAGGGCTTTCCATCTGAATAATGTTTTTCATTTTTTTTCATTATTATTGTGATTCTGGAAATCAAAATTACTGAACATCATGGAACCACTGCTCACATGACCAGTATAGTATAGTGAAATGGTCAGAAAAAAAATACTCAAATCAGAAACAAACAAACAAAAAAAAATATACAATTATAATATACGCTTAATTAACTTCAATTAGTACGTGCTCGATACACTAAACTAACTAAAAAAAAGAGAAAAAAAACATGAAAACCAAATCGGTCACAAACACACTCATGCACACACACACACACACACACAGCATACAAACATCAAGCATCATAGAGAAATAAAAGAAAAAAAAGAAAAAAAAAAAAAAAAAAACAAATCAAAGTAAATGATCCAAAACACACATACAGACACGAATTGGCTATAATAATTGAGATCATATCAAAAGAAAAAAAAATACTGGAATAGTAACAACAACAACAACAACAGAACGAACAAAAACGACAAAGTCAGAATATCAAGAATCTAGAAATTGGCCTAGAAAACAAAATACTCCAATATGACCACAAACATGGAATCCACAACAACAACAACAACAACAACAACTCTCATTTGGTTAGTTAGTTTTTCCTTCTTTTGGGTACATCACTCTGAATCAAATTGTTCAACTCACTAGTAGACTGTTTTGTTTTGTTTTTCCATCACTCGACTAGATTATACATTGTATAACAATAACAATAACAACAACAATTACAATTTCATAAAATTACTGTTCAATATTTCCATAATCAAAACAGAATGCACAAACATACATAACATGTCCATTCCAAAATGGAAAACAACAACAACAACAATGATAATGATGATAATAATTATACATCATCAAAATCTACCAATGATATATACAATGGTCAATTTGATTTTCAAAATTTGTTCCATCTATCAACCATCAGTAGAAAAAAATTATTCAAGTGAGTAGCAGGTGTTAAAAATTGAATTTTCACTCATCTCATCATCATCATAATCATCATCTGCTGTCTATCAATGAGAAAAACTCTCTCTTAATAGTAGAAATAAAGTAATCCAATCAAATAACCATAAACAAGTGTGGTAATTAAACATGATGATGATCATCATCATCCATTTGAATTATGTATTTGCTCTATATAAATATAACAACATGTGCGATTCAATCATTAAATAAAAATTCAGTTCAACAAACAAAACACTCGAATCATGAAAAAATTGAAAAAGAAAAGAGAAAAAAAATCATCCATAATAACACTGATGCTGCTGCCCATCATACGAGAAAATGGCTTTGATTTTCTACAGATTTCTTTTGCAATTATATTATACAAAAACAAATCATTAGACAAAAACCACTGTGTGACCATTTGGAATGTTTCATGTTCCATTCATTTCATTGGGCTTGTCCATCAACATCTTATATACATTACATATGATGATGATGATGATGGAATTTTTTCTTTTTTTTTGATGCTTTTGTCCATCTCAACATTCTTAGTGGTCATTCTACTCAAATATCTTTCTATCTAATAAATGGAAAATGAGAGTCAAATAATAATAATAATAACAACAAAAAAAAAAAATATGGATTCATTCAGGCAAATTATTACTATTACTATTTGTATTTGTATTATTATGTCTAATTTCATTGTCGAATGAAAATGGATGGACAAACCATCAACCAAACAACCAAATAGAACACACTGAATAATCATCCAACCATTATCAGCAACACACACACACACAAGTATCATTCAAGAGAAAAATAAAACACCCACACACGCCCAACAAACAAACATACAAAGAGATTATCTTTTCTCTATGTTGAATGGATTGTTGTTTCAAGTGATGCATCTGAAATCAGATTCAAAAAATGAATATTACCCATTATAAATGATTATATGTGTGTAAATGGGCAATGAAAAGTTTTTGCTTTCATTTCATCAGAAAAAAAACAGATTTTTTTTCACCATCATCATCATCTGGTTTATGATTTCAAACAAACAGAAAACATTAACACCTTATGAAGAGAGCAACGAAACGGAAACAAACTCATCATCATCATCATCAATGAATGAATGAATGAATGTGGATGATGAAATACATTTATCTCGGTTATTGTGGTTATTATTATGGTCATCAGGAAATCAAAGTGAACCACAAAAAAAATGTCTACTTGATAAAAAAAAAACGGCAATCATCGTCATCAACATCGGGTAAACAATTCATTCATTTTGGATCCACAAAAAAAGCAAGATTACACACACACAATCACTAAATGGTATTCAATGGATTATTATCATGTCATATTCGTTCATATAATAAATGTCGATAAAACACAAACAAACAACAACCAAATGACCAATAGAGAAGTCATCCATTGACATAATTGAAAAAAACAGGAATTTTCTTAAAAAACAAAACTCAATGAGCAATGTCAATCAAAAAAAAAAAAAAAAAAAAGAAAAACGAACAAGAATAATGCAAGTAAAGAAAATGAAACAAAACTTTTTTCTTTTACTAATGATGAGAAATAATTGTCAACAACAACAACAACATAGAACACACACACAAACACATAATTAACATCAATTGTAATAGTGTGTGTGTGTGTGCATGTCGTACATTAGAAAACAACAGAAAATAACGAAAATGAAAATGAAAAAAAAACTTCAAATCGATCGATTAATTTAATGTCGTCGTCGTCGTCGTCGTTTCAGTGGATCGTTACTGTTGTTGTTGTTGTTGTTGTACATCTTGGAAATTGGATCTGAAACAACAGCCGAAAAAATGCTTACTACTTCATTAATAAGAAATAGCTAAACGTGGCAGAATCATCAGAAAAAAAACTGTGCTACGAAAAAATGAAAAAAAAACACACTAACGTTATGTAATGATGAAAAAAAAAATTCTGAAATTCAATTTTCAGAAACCCATGAATAAAATGATGAACAAAAAAAATAATGACCATTGTATTTATGAACTGAATAGGAAAAAAAATGGAATATAATGAGCTACGGACGACGACAAATGGCTAAATGATGATAGTCTATCTGGCTGTATGTGCATAGGTTTGCTATTTTTTTTTTTCTTGGTCATCATCATCATCATCATTTCATTTGATTAGCTCGAGGCAAGTTTCAGATTTTTTTTCTATTTCTATCTTTTCGTTTGCCACATACAATAGTGTGAAACAAATGATGATGATTTTTCTGGTCAAAAAAAAAACTGTAGTACTGAAAAATCACCGATTCGCAATAGTAGCTATTTACTTGTTTTATTTTATTATTATTGATAGTGATGCTTTGTTCTCTTTCTCTCTCGCTCTCGTTATATTTGATTTTCGAATCATCATTTCGCATTCAATGAAAGAGAATGACTAGAATCTTGTCTTGTATATTAAAAAAAA